ACATACTATACATACATTATACTGTAATGTTAACTATACTTACATACTATACATACATTATACTGTAATGTTAACTATACTTACATACTATACATACATTATACTGTAATGTTAACTATACTTACATAATATTAATACATTATACTGTAATGTTAACCATACTTACATACTATTAATACATTATACATAATGTTAACTATACTTACATACTATTAATAAATTATACTGTAATGTTAACTATACTTACATACTATTAATACATTATACTGTAATGTTAACTATACTTACATACTATTAATAAATTATACTGTAATGTTAACTATACTTATATACTATTAATACATTATACTGTAATGTTAACTATACTTATATACTATTAAAATGTTAATTATTTACTGTAATGTTAATTATTTACTGTAATGTTAATTATTTACTGTAATGTTAATTATTTACTGTAATGTTAATTATTTACTGTAATGTTAAAATACGTAATGTTACCGCTTACATCCGTGACGTATGCGTCACTAAAATCATAAATAATTGTCGTCGACATTATTTCGATAAGGTAAGAAATCCGTCGCTATGGCAACAATAACAGGTAATCTATATTATAGGTAAAAAAATTATCTCTCTATGCTACAATAATTGAGGAAAGCAAACTTTGCTATTGCATGTTCAATACATGAATGTGTTTTTCTTGCATCGAGGAAACCATTTGTAAAGATAAAAGGCAAAAATAAGAAAAGGATGCCACGGAACATCATGTCACCGAAGCACTAATGGACATTTATAAGCTATGTCAAGCTTGCAACGCGCATGCGTGCGTGTGTGCGTGAATGTGTGCGTGCGTGCGTGCGTGCGTGGGTGCGAGCGTGCGTGGGTGCGAGCGTGTGTGTGTGTGCGTGCGTGCGTGCGTGCGTGCTTGCGTGCACGAACTCTGTACATGTCACGCACTGACAAGCGTGCGTGTATGCGTGTGTGTGGCGGTGTATGCGTGCATGCGTATGTGTGTGTGTGTGTGTGTGTGTGTGTGTGTGTGTGTGTGTGTGTGTGCGTGCGTGCGTGCGTGCGCTAACTCTGTACATGTCACGCACTGACAAGCGCAGACGTTGGCACGTGTGTCGCAGAGCAGACAGATAGCTTTCTGAACTGAAGCCATAACTTCCCAGTCCGACATCTCAAGACTCTGGCAGCCGTCTGTTTTCTCAAAGCACACACACACACTCACACACACACACACACACACACACACACACACACACACACACACACACACA